TTTACCCCATAAAACCCCCGTCATGCTGGATCGCGAACTCGTTCGAATAAACGTAGGTTTACACGTTTGTACCAAATTTAATCAAAATCGAATCATTTTTGCTCGAGTTATTGTGCTAACGGACAATATATATATATTGGTGCATATCAAGTCCTAGTTAGCTCTGAATTAATTAACAAAATATTTATAATTCTGTGCAAATAAATTTACTTAACTTTTTTAAATGACAGTACTTACAGTACCTAGTTATTAATTTTTGATGTTGACATATTTGATAAGAAATGGTAGAAGTCAACTTCAAAATGTTATCAAATTTACTTTAAGCTGGCCAGGAAAAGGATAACTAGGCTACTTTAAACGTATTTTTTCTTACACTATTACAATAAAAAACTTGTCATATATTGTTATACCAATGAAATATGCATAGTAATAGGACAATAAACCAATTATAAGAAACGGTTTTTATTATAAATTGTAATTCACTTATAACCTAGTAGGCTAGTAAAAAATTTAAAATGTAACTTTCTACCTTGGAACCCCGGATGACCAATGAACAATAAAATATCTTGAAGAATGGCTGGACAAAAAACTTAATTGGAACTACCAAGTCAATAAAAACTGTCCCAAAGTTATGCACGCCTTGCAATGCTTTTCCTTTAATCAATAGGAAATCTACTCTGAAGCCAGCTTTTACAGTTCTAATCTACAAATCAATAATTCGGCCTTTGATTACATATGCATCTCCTATCTGGGGATTAGCTATATATAAAAAAAACAAACTCTTAAAAATTCAAGTGATTCAAACAAAATTCTTAAGAATAGCGGTGAATGCTCGGACCTGGTTTGTTAGAAACAGGCATATACATGAAGAGCTAGGAGTGGAGTCTATCTCAGCCTTTAATGAAAAAACCACCTCAAAATTTTCGAAAATTTTGAGTCGAAGGCTCCCTCAAGATCTATTGAATGAATAAAGCCTCAAGAAGTTTAAATATATTTCTCTAAATTAATTATGTTACAGGGTGTCTCAGGTCTGGGCGAACCCACGATGTTATTATTGATAATTTCTTGTTTATTTTGTTAACACTTCTGTGAATAATGTCATCATTGAACCAGAAATAAGTGCTTAAAAAAACAAATTTAGGTAACCACAAAACATAAAGATAACATAGATATGGTTTACATAATCAAAGATATGTAAAACTATTATTAATGATAATGACCATTTTAACAGGAAAAATGTAGGTAGTATCAAAGATAACTAAAGTCTTAACAAAAGTATTCTTAATAATAATCTAAGGATGACACCCAGCATTGGGATATTATGTATCCGTAAAGTCTATAGGCCTACTGGATCTTCATTAGCATACATTTACAACAATGTGATTACTACAAATTGAACAATAATAAAACATATAATAAAAGTATCCTGAATAATGGTCAAAGGATGACACCCGGCATCTATATAACTAACTATACAGCCCGATGTTTAACTGACTGACAGGGGATACAAATGTTTGAGCACTTCTAGAATAGCTAGAGATCTGAAATTTGGCACGATTGTCTTGGTGCCAAACTCGCGGGAAAATCCTAAAAAGTTGCATTTTTTATTTTAACCCCCCTTATTTTAGAATTTCCCCCCCAATGTTATTCTTATGGGAAATAACATTGAAAAATGCCGACTTTGGTATGCTCATCTGAACCACTTATAAACGTGCTAGAGACTTGAAAATTTGTATTATTGTAGTAGGGGATCTCAAGTTAACGGTAAAATTTGCAGTCCCGTTTTCAAATTTTAACACTGCCAAAAATCCAAAATGGCGGACCGTTTTTTGCAGCCTCGGTAAGTTTGCAGTAGTGAAAAACCTCTGAAAACGAAAAAACACGTTTTTTTTTAAACGGCTAGGCCTAGGGTATAGCTTGAAAACGGTAAGAGCTAGAAACAATTTGAAAGAATTTTCATGGTCAGGAATTAAATTTTCTACAAGACACTAATAGGCTTTTTTCAAAAATCGCACTCCTTCACCGTCAAAAAACACCCTACTTTCAAAATGTGGTAAATTTCTTTCAAATTTTTACCGGTTTTCGCTATTTTTCATACTTAAATAATTCTTTTTGCAAATATTATTATTGCTTTGTATTCCCCTTACTTTTGTTTAAATAAAACCTAACCTTAAATTAATCTCGGCCCCCTCCAAGAAAATATTCTACATCCGCCACTAAGTTAGACCCAAGGCACAGTCATGCGTAGCCTAAGCCGTGGTGAAACTGGTTATTGTATTCCAGGCTGAAGTTGTTGCCCTGCCCGAGTGTGCAAGAGTGTGTTTGGAGCGTGGTCGGACAGGCCACACCATATATAGGCCTACATGAACTCGCACAGCAAAGCAGCACTAATGGCACTTGGCAGTTTTGACTTTGCTGCACATTTTTGAAATTATTATCCATTATGTTAGTAGTAGGCCTACTTTTTACAAAGTGCATAAACAGTCTGGAGATAATATAAAATCAACTAGCCTATTTGATTCATTATAGGTAACCTAAACTTTACCTTCCAATCTAACCTAACTTCAAAACACTTAGGTAGCCTACCGTAATACAGTCACGAGCCCGCATAACACCCAACCTACCAACCTCACATGACTTGTGTGAACCTGGCAATAACTTGGCAATAACTAGTGCACGCGCCCGCTAAAATCTATTGCTGGCCGTTTTGCGGAAAAATACGGCCACGAAACATATTCCGATAATGTCAACAGATAGAGGACACTTTAACGGACACGACAGTATCAACATCATGTACCTGGGGAGTAAGTTAAGGGGGGTAAACTCAGCAATAAGTAGTGTGCGCGCCCGATAAAATCTATTGCCGGCCGTATTGCGGAAAAATACGTCCGCGAGCAATAATAACGACGATGCCAACAGATAGAGGACACTTCAACGGACACGACAGTATCAACATCATGTACCTGGGGAGTAATTTAGGGGGGGTAAAACCAGCAATAGGTTGTGCGCGCGCCCTTTAAAATCTATTGCTGGCCGTATTGCCGAAAAATACGTCCGCGAGCAATTATAACGACGATGCCAACAGATAGAGGACACTTCAACGGACACGACAGTATCAACATCATGTACCTGGGGAGTAATTTTAGGGGGGGTAAAACAAGCAATAAGTAGTGCGCGCGCCCGATAAAATCTATTGCTGGCCGTATTGGGAAAAAAGATTTGAAAGGATTTGAATAATCATCGTTATTATTGCTCGCGGACGTATTTTTCCGCAATACGGCCGGAAATAGATGTTATCGGGCGCGCGCACAACTTATTGCTGGTTTTACCCAACCCCCCCCATATTACTCCCGAGGTACATTATATTGATAGGCCTACTGTCGTGTCCTTTGAAGTGTCCTCTATCTTTTGGCATCATCGTTAATATTGCTTGCGGACGTATTTTTCCGCAATACGGCCAGCAATAGATTTTTAAGGGCGCGCGCACAATTTATTGCTGGTTTTACCCCCTCTTTATTACTCCCCAGGTACATGATGTTGATACTGTCGTGTCCGTTGAAGTGTCCTCTATCTGTTGGCATCATCGTTTTTATTGCTTGCAGACGTATTTTTCCGCAATACGGCCAGCAATAGATTTTATCGGGCGAGCGCACTACTTATTGCTGGTTTTACCCCCCTAAATTACTCCCCAAGTACATGATGTTGATACTGTCATGTCCGTTGAAGTGTCCTCTATCTGTTAGCATCGTCGTTATTATTGCTCGCGGACGTATTTTTCCGCAATACGGCCGGCAATAGATTTTATCGGGCGCGCACACTACTTATTGCTGAGTTTACCCCCCTTAACTTACTCCCCAGGTACATGATGTTGATACTGTCGTGTCCGTTAAAGTGTCCTCTATCTGTTGACATTATCGGTAATATGTTTCGTGGCCGTATTTTTCCGCAAAACGGCTAGCAATAGATTTTAGCAGGCGCATGCACTAGTTATTGCCAAGTTATTGCCAGGTTCACACCAATCCTCACATGTCTAAATAAGAACTGAAGTAGGCCTAAGTTAGTTCATAATCAACGCTCAGTTAAATTTACAAATGCCTCTAGGTGCCTCTTTGTCCTCTAGGCTATGTATAAACTCTTTGTCATCTTAGGCTTCTTCTTCTTCCCTTGACAATAATTTTAATTTATTTTCAATCGTTCATGTTTGTGTTGTGTTACGTCAGTCCATTCACAGTAATGGTGACAGAGACCAGCCGACAATAGAGGCATTACAGTAATAAAATTCAAAAAATCATAGCTAGTTTTTGTGACAGCAGAAAAATTTCTGCACCATTGTTTTCAGGTACCTAGGCCTACCGGTAAAAATTTAGTTTCTAATGATAGCCTATAAATTAAGTTACTAGGCCTATAAGTTAGTTCTCTTGGTCACCCTCATCGCAATAATTTCCTTAACAGCTGTTTCCACTCCACAAACCATACATCCCTTTCAGTGTTAGTCGTCACTAGAACTTGGACTCGTCCAAACCACAAATAAGTTAGGTGATAACCCAACAAAACTTAAGGTAAGCTTGATATTAATTATTTAACTGTACAGCCGCTTACGAATCTCTCTGACAAAAACTTAAGTTATCTTATTACATTATTGGATTCAGCGTGAAAAATACTGTAAGCTTAGTAACTTAGACACCTAAAAACTACGTATCACATTGTAGGCCTAGACATATTGGGTACAGTTTCTTAACTGGGCTATGCTTATATCGGTTAAAACTATCAAGAAATTTGCAGTAAGTTAAGTAACATGTCAACTAACTTAGGTATTAGTTTAGCCCTATGCTAGGCCTAGTGCTACTAACTTACAGATAACTTAACCTAGGCCTATATAGCCTAACTAAAGATTGCTTAATGTTAATCTTTCTCTTTAGACCTGTGACAATAAATTATTAAGTTACCAACTCTTAACAATATGACAATATGGCATAATAGGCCTAACTGAACTCACTAACTTTTTGATGCCAAGATTATCTCCAATGGTTCAGATGAATATTCCTTATCAGCTCTTATCGCAGTATAAATAAAACGAATGACAACATGACAACATATACAAAAACAAAATAAGTTTTTAAAACTAGGCTAACTTTAGTTTCGCAAAATCTGTTGTTAAAGTAAAATACGAAATCTCACCCGGCTACCAACAGACAAAGTCCATCAATAATGAATCATCATCATCATCTCATCATCATTATCTGCTGATCTAAGACGAGACGAACGGAACGAAGACGAAATCGTAAAAAACCGCAAAGCAAAGTTCAGTTCAGTCTTCAGTCAGTGCAGTGTGCAGTGGTAGTGGTGGGTGGTGTTGTGGTGTGGTGGTAGTTTAGTTGGTAGGTAGTGTCAGTGTCGTCCGGTCGTCGTGTCGTGGTAGTGTACACAAAAAAAAACCTACGAGACCACCAACTTACCGTCAGACCGCCACCGCCACCGCCGGTCACCGACCGTCGTGAAGTTAGCGGCTCCTTTCATCGGCGCTTTTTTGGTTTGTAATAGATGTGGGTTGGTACTCCTGCGGACGCCACAAACGTGTTTTGCAGATGGTTTTGCAGGGATGTCGGAAACGCAATTCAATGAAAATACGGTGCGAAATGATGTTTTTATATTTATATAATGTCAATTATACATTGCTAAAACGTGTATACAAGTTAAAACTAATTAATTGACGTATTTTAAAAGGCATATTTCAGACCGAGTGTACATTATACGTAGCTATGGCTTAACATAACGCGATCAATTAAAACTCCGAACATAAAAAGTGCATAATCTTTTTTCCCAAGCCCATCACATCAACTTTGAGCTATTCTAATGGTAATAAACAATGTGTAGAATACTCAGTATAAATATGATTGAGGCAGTCCAGTGAATTACGAAGCTATAAGGCAAAATGTATATGGTTGATAGTAACTCGTATCAGGAAAAAGTGCACAATCTTTTTCCTAAGCCCATCACATCAACTTTGAGGTATTCTAATGGTAATGTACAATGTGTAGAATACTCAGTATATGATTGAGGCAGTCCAGTGAATTACGAAGCTATAAGGCAAAATCTATATGGTTGATAGTAACTCGTATCAGGAAAAAGTGCACAATCTTTTTCCTAAGCCCATCACATCAACTTTGAGGTATTCTAATGGTAATTTACAATGTGTAGAATACTCAGTATAAATATGATTGAGGCAGTCCAGTGAATTACGAAGCTATAAGGCAAAATCTATATGGTTGATAGGAATTTGCGCCAGGAAAAGTGCACAATCTTTTTCCTAAGCCCATCACATCAACTTTGAGGTATTCTAATGGTAATATACAATGTTTAGAATAATCGGTATGAGAATAATTGCGGCAGTCCAGTAAATTACAAAGTTATATGGCAAAATGTATATGGTTGATAGGAACTCGCATCAGGAAAAGTGCACAATCTTTTTCCTGAGCCCATCACATCAACTTTGAGGTATGCTAATGGTAATATACAATGTGTAGAATACTCAGTATAAATATGATTGCGGCAGTCCAGTAAATTACCAAGCTATAAGGCAAAATCTATATGGTTGATAGGAACTCGCATCAGGAAAAAGTGCACAATCTTACCTCAAAATTGATGTGATGGGCTTAGGAAAAAGATTGTGCACTTTTCCTGATGCGAGGGCACATATTTTAAAATTAAATGATAAAAAACTCAATTAGTATCATAGATACTGGAATTTTCCTTGGCATTTTTTTAAAGCAGATGAAGTTGGTAATGCAATGCCGTTTAGAACTTGTTTCTATCGTGTCTTAGCTTATGGGCGATTTTCTAGAACGCGTCTCAGAGGAATCACCTTCCCCCCTCCCCTCCCCCCACGATGTGCACCTGCTGGGTTGGTGACAACATCGGTTTTTGTTATCTCTAAAATGCGCCCAACAACAATCAAAAGTCAAAAAGAGTTACACTTTCAGTGCATACTCAACCCCTATAGGTGCTGGACTAAAGATAACATGGCAGACAGGTGACACCTGCTCATTGATTCGCGTATTATTCATTGAAATTTATGATTATAAAATTATTAATGTATTGAAAATGAAAATAAAACATTGAATAGGAAACCAAAACCTTTAATTGAAAATATAATTTTGCACATTTGAAGCTGAGTCAATATATTCTTATAAACACATCCTTAAAACATACTTAAATAAATTAGAGTACCATCCTAACTACCTTGCTTTAAATTTATTTGACAACAGCAACTATACATACAGATTGAAAAGATGCCAAGTTTTGGACTTAAGTAGTCGTTTTTAGACTTTAAACTTTGTACCAAATATGCAAAGTTTGTGTGTTAGCTCTATTGTTGGATAAAGACTAACTCCTGTGTTTAAATTTTAGGTACTTACGTATTATACGGAGGCCACTTATTTTACAGCGCGCTGCGGCGGTTGGGTTAAGTTGGGTTATCATAAATATGTTTGTAGAACTTTCCTAGTTTCGTTATGAATCGAACTATACGAGATGAGTCATAAAAACTTATGACAACCCAACCTAACCTAACCGCCGCAGCGCGCTGTAAAATAAGTGGCCTCCGTATAATACGTAAGTACCAAATTTTATCAAATTTGCTTATTCTTCTATTTTTTGTTGAACATAATGTAAATTAAATAAAATGTTACAAAAAAACATACCGGTACACAAATAAATACCATAAGTTGCCTCCAAAAAACAGCTGTGTTACAACCCTACTTGCGATGTTGCCACTTCGAAGTTTGCGGCCTGGCTGCACAATTTTGATTTCAGTATTAGTTTTGCCACCATAGTGTCCTTTCTAGAAAAAAGGAAAAACACTCGAAAAATTGAAAAAAAGCCAATAAAATCTTTTTAAGATTGTATAACTCCGAAAAAAACTTACCTGAGACCCAAAAAATCGTTATGTTTTTATAGAGGTGTACTTCCTTTTGGTATAAAACATTGAAATATGATGATATTTTAATTTTAGAAATTTGTATGATAGAAATCATAAACGTGATGGTCAGGGACAAGCCTTATGGATTATACTGTGTTTGATGGTCGTGACAATAGCTTAAATACGTATCATTGTAAATTTAAGTTAAATCATAGATAAAACATACTAAAATATTAATAGCTTAGTATAAAATAAATAAATTTAGTAGTGGCAATAGAAGAATATTAAGGCACTTGGGGCGTTTTTCCCCATAAGAATAACATGGGGATCATTTTTTGGCCACCAAAACCAAAAATCCTGATCTTTGCCTATACATCCCCTATACTACTGTACAACTTCATTAACATTACAAATCAACATATATTTTCAAATCATGTGAGATTTGCAGCAGAACTCAAGCGCGCTCCCGGCCCACGCTTCTCATCTCCAGCGGTGTATAGTAGTATAGTTTGTCGCCGCCGTTTTTTGAGGAGCGGCATTTTTGGGCTAACTCTCCGCCCATGCCTAATTGCTAGTACATCTACCATTCCCCTTTCTAGTTGATATGTTGTAGTCTATATTTCTGTCTTATCTATAAATATTAGTTGTATGAGTTGTTTAATATTTTCATTTCTTTGTCTTTTGGGATATACCTCTTAAACTTGCTCTTGGGGCCTATACAAGCCTATATAATTGTACAACTCCATATCTATATTGTAAAATTTCAAATCCATGTCCAACACCCATTCACATGTATATTCTCAAAATCATCAACTTGACAGTGGGAGGTTTGTACGTGAACTCGGGCGTGCTCCCGGCTCACGGCGCGTTCCCTTGGACATCCTTAGTGGAAATCCATGAGTTTTGGCTACTTGGGAATCCAAGCCATTTGACATACAATAAATCACCCTTCCTCTTAATTACCTTTTCTATTAAATACATGTCTTTATACTTGGTCTTTAACAACTCCTCTGTATAGAAGCCTCCCCTGATTATATTACCATTTTCATCTTTCAAGATATAAGTCACAGGCTTTGTATTCTTAACTTCTGCTATTGTAAATAGTTCCCCTGTCCAATTCGGAGTATAACCTTTATTAAAAACATGTTTATACTTGGAAATCCTCACACTATCACCTACCTTATATCTTGGCTTTTTAACTTGCACTACTTTAGAAGTCAACCTCTCATGCACATATTTACTATTCTTAATACTCACTTGGTTAGGCTTCATTCCTATAGATCTATGTACCTTATTATTATATTTTCGAATTAACTTTGGAAGTAAATCCAACCATTTATAACTTCCCTGAGCACTAAATTCCCTATATAACCAATTTTTTAAAGTTCTCTGAAACCTCTCCACAATTGCAGCCTTAGTTGTAGAAAAAGTGTGATAGTGATTAATATTTAAGTTTTTCATTAGTTTGCTAAAATATTGATTAAAAAATTCTTTTCCATTGTCAGATTGAATGTTTTTAACCCCCCTTGGTAGAATGGTTTTAATGGCTTCTGTAACCACTAACCCTGTCTTATTCTTTAGTGGAGCAGCATAAGCTTTTTTAGAAAATGTATCTATTAAAGTTAAAATATATTTATTGCCAGAATTCTCTCTAGCATAGTTTTGCATATCAATTAAATCTATTTGTATGGTTTCGTTTATACCTAATACTTTAAAAGACCTTCTAATGAAATTCTTTCTTGCAGGTTTATGAAGTTCGTATGCAATTTCATTCATTTTAGCGAATTTCCCTATAGGGAAGTAGCTATTACCGTAGGTCTCATGGTAAGACTTAGGCCCGGGACCAATTTACTTTTTCATTTTAATGTCCCCAGAGGCCAAAAACACCATTCGTTCAAATTTTTATATATGTATATATATATAGACTTATATATATATATATATATATATATACGTCCGTGAACGCGATAACTTGAGTAATTTTTGTCCGATTTTGATGAAATTTGGTTTAAAAGTGTAAAGCGGGATAAACTTGAATGAGTTCGCGAACCAGCACAATCGGACCATGGGAACGAGGCTTTACAGGGGGTTTTATGGGGTAAAAATTGGTTTTTCTCACTTTTGACCCTCAAAACACAAAATTTCCTGATTTCTCTTTAGACCTTTTTAAAGAGCTTAAAAAAACAAATAATTTAGTATATAAAAGTATTTTTGTTCGATTATTAGTAACGGAGAAAATTAAAAAAATTGTAAATTTAAAATTCCCATGTTATTCTTATGGAGAATATTGTCAAATGTAGTAGTTCGCT